AGGGAACTTGTTCAAACCGTATTAGCCCACAAACCAAAAATGTGCAGCTTTCTGGAATGGAGAGACCTGAAGACTGTCTACAAAAGATATGCAAGCCTCTATTTCTGCTGTGCTATTGAAGATCAGGACAATGAACTAATAACTCTGGAAATAATTCATCGCTATGTAGAACTTCTTGACAAGTATTTTGGCAGTGTGTGTGAACTTGATATCATATTCAATTTTGAAAAAGCCTATTTCATTCTGGATGAGTTCCTTTTAGGAGGGAAAGTTCAGGAGACTTCCAGGTAAAATGTTCTCGAAGCCATTGAACAGGCAGATCTTTTACAGGAGGAAGCAGAGTCCCCACGTAGTGTACTTGAAGAAATTGGATTGACATAGGTCTTCACTTCAGCTGATGACATCTCAGTGCTTCATACTGTAAATGTTCACTGCCTTCATTGGAATGTTTAGCTAATGGTGTAAGATGCTGTTTGTCAGTATTACCATTTTGCTAAGCTGCTTCATTCCGGCCTATAAGCAAAATGCTCCTTTGGAAAGGGAACAAGAGACTAGAAGTCCAAAAAACACAAATGAAAGGGAATTAGATTTAAATAGACTCAATGTCTCCCTTCACTGCATTTACAGGAAAAATGCGTTTGACTTCAATAAGTGTACTGTTTTTTATAAGCAAATCAAGAACTTCTGTCTTAGTTCTTAATAAAGAAGGGGGAGCAAGTCCAGAAAACGGTAGCACTTCGGAAACTCAAAATGTGTGTTTGACATCCACTGGTTCCGAAAAAATAATCGCTCTGGAAAAGGAAAAGAGGTTAACCCTATATAACCTGCAATTTCCACTTCTTGCAAAAGAAAATGTCCCTTGCCAGCAGATGACATAGCATTCAAAAACTTTAAGTCAGAGAATGATGAAAATAGATCACCACAAAAAGGAAAAAGAAATAAAACTGAAGAAGAACTTGGCAAGAAGATGATGTAAGGGAGGCTACTTGGACTGCTGGAGGGACAGACAGGAAGACAAGATCAAGCATGGGAACAACTACAAGAACAAGAAAATAGTCTTAACCAATTCAGTAATTGAAAGTGCAGGGTTTTTAATGTGAATTGTTTTGCACTCAGATTTTTAAGTTCAGATTTTGTGAAGAAAGCTATCACAGAATTATGATATTATCAAAATGTATTCTTTAACTGTTTACAGATACTGCATAGAGATCTGTTTTAATAGATTTTGTCAACATATAGTGGTTCTTAAACCATGGGGTGCTTCTGTAAAACAGCAAACGTAAACACGAATCTTTTTTTTGTATTTATCCCCAGTTTTCTGTTGATCAGTACAGCAGTCGGGAAGCCGTATTACTTTACTGCCAGTTATAATTATAAGCTATTTTCTGCTTTTTTGTTCTTAGTAAAGAAGGGGGAGTTGTTGTGGGAACAAGTACAGGATCTGCAGGTTTGGCAGCTGAGCTGTAGGATCTGCAGGTGTGGAGACTTTGGTTTGGGACCAATAAGAAAAGGGTTGTAAAGCGCTAAATACGGTGATCCCGATGCTGCTTGTGCTTGCACATGGACTCAGGGTCCGTGCCTTCGTTGCCACGTGTGTTCGTTGCCACATGGCCTGGCTGGACACAGTTCTTTTAGTGTGACTCAGGAAAAAAAGGAGACCAGGTGACCCGCCTGGTAGATGAGGGAAAGGCTGTGGATGTTGTCTACCTAGACTTCAGCAAAGCCTTTGACAGAGCCTCCCACAGCACTCTCCTAGAGAAGCTGGTGGTTCATGGCCTAGA